ACTTGCTTCTTTATTATTCTAAAGATTTCTTTCTTTCTTTTTTTAAGTTATCCACTCCCCACTGTGGGACGAAAAAACAATCTCTGCAGTTTGTCAGAAAGAGAGAGAGAGAGGGGCAAGCTCCTCCCCCTTCCTTTCTGATTGGTCTACTCCTACGTTTCCGTAACAGATTTAAATGTTAATGAGAGAACACATTATACATATACATTATTAATACACATGCACAGAGGTTTTCAAAATTATTTGTTAACGTTTTCATGAAAAAAATGGTGTTTTAATGCACAAAAAAGCAATCGCGGCAAACTCGGAAGAAGCTATTATCATTAATTGCACATTATAGGACACATCTGCAGAGGATCTGATTATGGATATAGGTTCAGTATATAAATGATTATGGATATAGGGTCAGTATATAAATGATTATGGATATAGGTTCAGTATACTGTATACATAGGTAACTCAGCGCGGATGTTCAGAATTCTTTGTTCAGTTTTCATGTAGTTCCAGAGCCTAATAAAGGCTTGATTCGGAGGCTCCGCAAAAACAAACAACTGAGCATGCGCAGCTGCGAGCATCAGCGCGATGATTGACAGCCCTTGGCATCACTCGATTGGTTAACGTGGACGGCATCGTGGATTCTGAGCTATAGCTAAGAGAAGGGAAAGCGGGACTTAACTGTAATATTAGAATTAATACAATTACTTATTTTATATCACCATTTAAGGCCAGGAGGTTAATTTAATACAATTCTTAAAATGTTTTTTCATTTAGAGTTACAAACTATCACTTTAAACCTGTTCACACAACTTTACTTTATTAATATCACCAAATATCCATCCAATGTTATATCCCAAACAGGCAAACCAACTCAAAATGTTGTTTTCTCTGTATATGTTGCCACTGGGGTCCATTATCGCACAGCATAATTTGACATTTCACTGCTATGCAGATGATCTGCAAATCTATCTGCCCATTTCATCCAATAGGAGTGATGCTGTAAAACGTCTAACGGACTGTATATCTGACATAAAACTGTGGCTACAGCAGAAATTCATCCATTTAAATGAGGACAAAACTGATTTTATTCTGTATGGTGATACACATGTTTCAATTGATGGTTTACTGACTTTCAACTGTAAACCAACTGTCAAAAACCTTGGTGTTGTCTTCGACAACTCATTTTGTTTTGAGAAACAGATTGACAGTGTGGTCAGGTCGAGTTTTTATCAGCTGCGTATTTTAACTAAGGTTAAGCCCAGTCATGTCTTAATCGTCTCCAGTTGGTGCAAAATGCTGCAGCTCGTTTTTTAACAAACACCCCCAGACGTGAACACATCACCCCAGTCCTTTTTTCTTTACATTGGCTTCCAGTTTCTTTTAGAGTTGATTTTAAAATTCTTCTTTTTGTTTTTAAAGCCCTCAATGGTCTTGCCCCTTCATACCTGTCCAAACTTCTAACAGTTTGTGACTCGGGCAGATCACTGAGGTCATCAAATCAGCTTTTACTGGAAGTGCCCAGGACTCGGTCCAAACATTGGGGTGATCGAGCCTTTTCAGTTGCTGGACCAAAGCTCTGGAACAAGCTGCCCAACAACAACAACAACAAGCTACGCACAATCACTGACTTTGGCCTTTTTAAATCTAGACTTAAGACATATTTATTCAGACTGGCTTTTAATACTCAGTAGCACGGCGTCACTTTAGTTTCTAATGATCAAATTTGATTGATTTTTGATTGAAAACAATGAAACAAATTGCAACCGTTTTAACAGAAATGACACTATTAGAAACTACAACATGCAAAAGAACAAAACAATTCAGGATGACTGTACTTATTCAGAACCAGGGTGGTGTCTATGCAGAAAGAGCATTTGGGATTCAGGGCTTCATTTAGACACAGTATTTGTCTAAATGAATCTCTCACTCTCACAGCAGGGAGCCCGGCTGTAATTAGACGCCGACTTTCACATCCTCTCGTGCCCATGCCATATAATAGAGGACATGGGGGGAACGTTGGATGGAAGAGCGGGTTTAGCAAAGAGAGGAATGGAAATTATCAGTTGTCCACCCACATATAGAAACATTGGCAGATCGTTCTCAGACCAAAGGCATCGTCCGCTCATTAGATAAACAGGACACCAGAAGGGGATATGCAAGCCGTCTCATTTCCATTCTCTCCTGCAAGAATTCTTTCAAAATACAAACATACACATGGTTGATATCGGTTATACAATCACCGGGTGTGCGCGATCACCACTCATAAGTCATCTTCGAAGAGCTGACGGCTTAGTTTGATTCTTGTTGGAGTAAGTGGGCAACACACACCAATGCAAAGAAACCCAATTTAATACTTCAAATCTAAATTATTGCGGTTTTTGATCACCTTTTTCTGTAAAAAAAAAAAAAGTAACTTGGCATTTGCTGATTACTCCTTGTTCAGTGAATGTTCTGAATTTGTACTATCATATTTTTTCCCTGTATAAACTATGGAAACTCAAAGGATTAAAGAGTAGACTAAAAAATAAAAAAATATAATAATAATAATGCATCTTCAAGGTAGATTGAATCGAATAACAATCACAGTAAGTATACCAGTCCAGTAACGGCCTTTTCCACGACTCTGTATTGTGTTAATTTGCATAAAGAGATGCAGAGAAATGTGTAAAAAAAGGTCTTTTCCGTTAAGTACATTCTTCGACATGTTTTGTTATTAGTGAATATGAAAGGATTTGCAAAGGGTTGTGAAAAACTCTGTAAGGACTATCCACATGCAAAAGCAAATCAGAATCACAATTATCTTTATTCCCATTAAGTAACAGGAACTCACACACTAGGAGTTTGCTTTGGCCCATTGTGCAAACAAGTTATGAGAGTAAAAGATAAGAGAAAATACAAACATTCTGCATAAAAAAGTCTTGACGACGACACAGATATGGCCAAAAAACTGGGACAATGCAAAAGTGGGAATAGACTTTAAAATATGGACAAAAACACCAGCAACATGTCAATCTCAGCTAAAGCAGAAAATCAGACTTGAAAACTAGGAAACATGGTCCTCAATGATTATGCATCATCAGCCATTCTGAGTCTCTGCTACACTCCTGCACGTGAACTCCCCGGGCAATCAGCCTCAGCAGCCCAGCCAGACACCTGTGTCATCAGCATCACTTCACGGCTGCATTCAAACAGAGTCTCAAACTGTTATTCGTGCAGCAACCCACCTCCTCCCCATCACCCTCATCATACGTCATACCCAGTGGGGGAGGGTCCCAGCTCAAAAGTGGCCAAAATGACGTGCGCTGACATGCTTGCAATACCACCCCGGGCCGATGGGGGTGGACCCAGAAGTAGAATTAGCCAATGCTAACATATAGCATTGGCAGACCTCTCAAAAACGTCTTTACAGGATGGACCAAAAGTTGGCTCTTGGCCGAAAGCTCCGTTCCACATGTGTGTCAATGCTGAGGGGGGTGGATTTTTTTGGTCCACTCTAGTTTACTTGCTGTGAATTTTTGAAGTCTCTCGTTCAAATGAATGGAGATGCGTTTTTTCACAATTTTCTTGTGGGCGGGACCATTCGCGGCCATTTTTGATAGCTCCAGTAGAGTACATTTTTTGGCCAATTAGTTAGAACGGCGGAGATAGGCGTGACTCTGTCCATTAATATATACAGTCTATGGTCATACCATAGTTCTGCCAGGGTCTAATCGCCAAACCTTGAACATGTCATTCTCAAAGGTAATAAATACTGTAGTAGCTCATCATGCGTCTGCCGGGGCTATATTTCTCATCACGCAGCTGTAATACAGTCTACGCAAACATGCCAATAAACATAATTTCTAATGCAATCTTTGTCTTTCCAGATTGAAATTCAATCGTCATTTTGAGTTTGCCGTTAAAGCAGACGTGCCCTTCCCAGCTAACACCACAAACGCTCTCTCAGTTCAAAGGAACACAAGGCCTAATCCGGTCTAATTCGTTGCTGCATCTGTACGCATATTGGGTACTTCTAAGAGGAGGTTGCACCATCCCTTTGCTTGATGACGATATGCATAAAGTGTAATACGCAGTAATCCTTCCCACTGCCATCAACGCATCAGAGAGACACAGGGAAAAGCACGAAAGGGAAAGCAGATTCTAAATTCTCTGGGTTGCTCTCGAGGATTTCTGATAAGAGTGAATGAGGAAAATGTCTCTCAGTGAGTTGTTGGTTCATGTACCGCAAATGTGCGTTTTATTGAATGGTAAAGCTAAAAACATATTTTGCACTGGTGAAGATGTAGTTCATAACTAAACAGACCACTAAACATGTGTTAGATTTGTAAGCACTGGTTTCTAACTGGTCAGAACTGGACTTGGACAGATTTGTGAACAGGTTTTCCCAAATTAGAACAAGATTAGAACAACAAATCAAGAATTGTATTTGAAAGTGGAGATGTCGTATGGATTTCACAACATGAAATATAGCTGTAGAGTACACTGAAATTCCCTACTGTGGGATGAATTAAAGGATCTCCCTTAATCTCTTAATCTCTTAAGAGAGTAACAAAGAGTAACACCCATGATATGTTGACAATAGCCAACAGTAAGACAACACAATAATTATAAACATATCTATGCACATCATTGTGGTAAATGGAGATAATGTAAAGTCTTGACCACAAATAGGCATTTAAAAAAAGATAAATCATCAAATAATCTTTGATCACTGAAAACAAAATATATCCAATTATACAAGTTAGAAATGCTTTTAGTTCATGTTGATTAAATTGTTATTGAATGCAATGCAGCAACACAAGGCTCTCTCCAGTGGGCATATATTTTACATAACAAGCTTGTTCATAAAATGTAATTGTATTGAGCAATTTGAAACTAAAACAAAACAAAACAATAGTGTACACTCTGCTTTCTGATGATTGTACTGTATTGAGAACTTGTCCAAATAGCTACATTCTTGAAAATGTCTTAATGAATAAGGCAGACTCAGAGGCAGGCCTTACCTTGGCCGGTGTTTCTCTGGCCGTGTCAGAGCCTGACCAGCGGTGTTTGAGCTGGGAGGAGCTGGGCACACACTCACAGAAACTCTGCATGGACAAACAGACAGGGGCGCATGTGTTGGGGGTGTTCCAGTCGCCTGTGCAGTCAGGTACGCACACACACACACACACACACACACACACACACACACACACACACACACACATGCACATACACACACATACATGTACACACATGCACATCCATGCACGTACCTGTGCATGCAGCACATGTGTGCACATGACAACTAAAAAACCTCACATGGGAAACATGTCTAATGCTGCAACAAATCCTTTTTTGCACATTGTTTTACTCCATCTTTGTAACACAGGAATTGTTCCTCATAAAATGTATTCTAACATTGATATTTAAACTGTATAGATTAAAGAGTGTGGGCGTTACTGCAGCAGTACAGCATGTCGCATGTGTGAGAACACAAGCTGTGTAATTATGAAAGAGGGAGCGTTAAAGAAACTCTTTGAAATCCCCATCCAGCGACCTCAACATTTACCTCGAAGTGGGTTTGGTCATTTAGCCTGGTACAATGACACCTGCATAAAAGCAACCTGCAGGTGGGCCCCGCAAATTTGTTCTCATTGCAAAATGAGAACAAACGAATTCATGTTGTTCTCATTTTGTAAAAAGCCAGTCAAAAATGCGATGACAAGTCATTTAGAGAAGCACCAGTTCATATTTTATACTATATATATTTTCGTTGCCAATAGATGGGCAAAACTCTTCTGTAAACATGTCAGGCCTTCACTCCTATGAAAGCTCACTAACAACCAGTTTGAACGTTCCGTCTTTCAATGTGGGAGACAACAGAAAGCAGGAGCAGGAGTGTGCAGCGGAGAGGTGCTCAGAATCCTAATGAGGCGCCTTAGGGTCAGCGATAGAAATCTATGTCTATTCTGCCTAAAACATTGCAGCTGTCTGAGTGCGCCATACACGGAGCTTCACGGATAGCATTACTAAATAAACACAGACTCTACAGTGATAAAACAAACTAGCGAGCCACGTCCACGGCCGACTAAATGGAAATGAATTTGGGTTTAACGGCAAGGCATAAAGAATAGCCCGGGCTTTAATGTGCAGCACATAAAGAACAACACGCCATTAGAGATAGGGAAGGCGTAAAGATAGACTGCCATATCTGTCACGGGAGCAAACACATACAAAGCAATGCACACATATCAAAAAGAGCAGGTCCCTCGTAGCGACTGCCTATTACAGTAGCAGCACGTATCAAGGCTTTGGTTTTCTCATCCCCAGCCTGCTAATGCTCACATTGAGATTTTTCTTTTCTGTATACACATAAAGATATGTGAGAACCTCCTCTTTGGCAGTGGTCCCGCTGTGGGCCTGATGCTTCACACTGTTGATCTAGTCCTAATCTTCCTCCACAGGCACAACGGTTTTTTCACTAGACTGAATATTTGGGCTTTTGGTTAGTAGTTATTAAAGGTTGAATCAGATTTGCTAAGCCGAAACAGCGTGAGCTTGCAATATGACAAATCGTACATATGTTTGTTCTAAAAGGTATATGTGATATGTACCTATGTAAGTCTGAAAAAGAGTGTTTTTGTTCCCAGACTTAGGCTCTGAATGCCTTTGTGCCGGTGAGACGGAGAATTTACCAAGGTGTACATAAACCCACTGTGTGCTAAGCCGCAGTGTGGAGAAGGCTTTGCATGCATTCACTTGTGGGCCTACTAATCATTTAACTGGCCATACAGCCGACCGAGCAGGAGCAGAGACAGAGGAGGAAGCTCAGGACACTCAGGTGCACGCAAGAGAGTGGAAACACATTTGCACAAGTACAAATCAGAGCAGATGTGTCGAGTTTCTAAAGAGACGAGAGATTTTGCTTTAAAACCTTTTTCTTCGGGAGGCGCTCTATTCGAGTACGCCATGATTTGCCTATAGAAATGCCCCTTCATAACATGGCCCTTTCATACTGTATCTCACTGACCTTCTCCATCAGCACTGTCCCTCCCTCCTCCTCAGATCCGCCGACTACGACCTCCTCAATCCCATCAGAACAAAGTGCCGAACCAGCAGCTGCCCCCACTTGCTTCAGAACTTCAAATCACTGCTCAAAAGCCAACTGTTCGAAACATGCCAACACTAAATAAAATGTTTCTATTTCTTTTTATGTGTTAGATAAATGCAATAACACACTGCACTTTAGGTTTAGGGTAAGTGCAATAACACACTGCACTTTAGGTTTAGGGTAAGTGCAATAACACACTGCACTTTAGGTTTAGGGTAAGTGCAATAACACACTGCACTTTAGGTTTAGGGTAAGTGCAATAACACACTGCACTTTAGGTTTAGGGTAAGTGCAATAACACACTGCACTTTAGGCTTAGGGTAAGTGCAATAACACACTGCACTTTAGGTTTAGGGTAAGTGCAATAACACACTGCACTTTAGGCTTAGGGTAAGTGCAATAACACACTGCACTTTAGGTTTAGGGAAGGTACATGTCTCACAATGGGAGACAATAAATGAGTCATATCTTATTAAACCGGTCCCTTTGTGAAGTGTCACTGAGATCCCAGAAAGTAATATATAAGCAGTTTGTATTATTATGTGTTATTATTATTAGTTTGTTTGGAGAACTTTTCTTTATTCCAGCTATAGATACCATGTATATGTTACCTGGTTAGCGAAGCACCAATACAATACTGATATCCAATATTTAGCCGGTCCAGGACGGACTGATAGGGACATAATGATGTGTCCCCATCAGCCTATATCCCGATTGGGACTTTGACTATATGTAAATGGACCATTATCTGGTACTGATATTAACTCAGCACAGCATGTGCGTTTTTGCATGAAAAAGAAAATTGGTGTTTTTGAGGGGGAAAATTGCTACTTTTAGTCCCTTCACGAGAAGCTATTGACGTTAGAGCCCTGCACGGGCCTATTATCTGGGCCCGAGCCCGGCCCTGGTCCGAAGGGGTGGAGCCCCAGCCCGATATGGTTTCTGAATTTTCAGGCCCGAAACCCGCATCAAGCCCGACTTTTTTTTTTTTTTTTTGTAACATCCCATAACAATGTTTTAGCGTAGTATATAGTGCCGCGCACTGATATGAACGCAGACTTAGCTAGAGGGCGGAGTTATACATGGTAGTGATGTGTTGCAATGAGTTCTGTGTGTGCGGAGTGGTGCAGAGTGAACGGCCGCATCTGTATGATGCCCCAGATGCTGCAACACACCTGTAATTAACGCTATGTGCCGTCAATGACAACACTACACAGAACAACAAACACTACAGCGTGATAGAACGCTATATTCAGTGGGTGCGTTCGTAAATGTATTCTGCCGCTCTGAAAATGAAGAGCCCGAGCCCGGCCCGTGTCCGATGTCATTATGCGGTCATCGGCCCGAAGCCCGGCCCTCGGGCTGTCGGGCCGTCGGGCCCTCGGGCTGTCGGGCCGTCGGGCCCTCGGGCTGTCGGGCCGTCGGGCCCTCGGGCCAAGGGCTCAAGTGCAGGGCTCTAATTGATGTCTCAGGAACAGGATTTAGGATTGGGACATGAAAAAGGTGCATTCTTATACCGTGTGACAAACTGCCTACAAATATTATTTTCAGTTTCTTAAAAAAAAACAATATTGGGATTCAAGATTTGTGGACATCAAAACAATCAATTTAATCGTGCAGATTTTTGAGCCCTAAGAGAAGATAACTTCCATATATTTTTGGGTTTTATGGATTTTGCAGTATATTTGGCCTGCGTTCTCATTGGTTGCTATATCGTACCAACAGTTATCACACTGAGATTCCATTTTAGTCAGAATGCTTACACTGCATGGTCACCTTTCGCGACACATCTGAACATGCATGGTGATACATCTTCAGTGTTGGGCACGTTACTTTGAAAAAGTAATTAGTTATAGTTATTAGTTACTTCTCCCAAAAAGTAACTGAGTTACTAACGGAGTTACTCCACTATAAAAGTAACTAGTTACCAGTAAAAGTAACTATTGCGTTACTTTTTCGTTTTGTTCTGGAACATAATGTGCACCCGACGTGCGCATTTTTACCTTTAACAGTGCCAATATTTCCATCTAGAAAAGGCTGTTTTGCTGCTGAAGTCCTGTTCACTCTTCATCTCTGTCTGTGCTGTAAGCACTAAACACCACACCCGCCACTGTGAATGTGGAAACACCGGTGACGAGCGGTGAGGCTGGTGAAGCACTGACTTCAGTCCAATCAGATGAACATATACATCATATAAATCAAGTGGACAATTTGTTTGGCTACAGCAAAATATGTTTTATGCCCGCATTGTTTGTTCATACAAAACGCAAAACTATGAGTTATGGGTCTTACCTTATAAATGACCTGCACAGTCCACTTCGGTTCAGACCAGTTCCTTGTTTAAATCCAGTGAATGGTTTGAGCGTAGATATGTAATCCTCCATTTGGAAATGAGTCCAATGAGTTTTAAAACGTAAAACAAAACGCGTGTGTCCTCCGTAAACTCTGTTTTGCTGCAGCCGGCTACATCCAATTTCTAAAATCAACCGTCTTACACTTCACCTCTCTTTCTTATCATTCCTATAGTAATTGAAAAATTACCCTATGTGCATTTTAGATTATGTAAAAATGTGTTATATGTATGTTAGCCAAACCTGTTGCAGCCCTTAGCAGATAAACCAGGAAGAGCAAGGAGCTTATCGATGGAATTGTATGCAGCCGACTTCTGCGCTCACATGCGCTCCTCTGTGGCTGACCTCACGGTGATACAAGCTGTGGTTGAGCGCGACTAAGACCCATATTTGTTTCAAAAACACAATTTATGAGCCATCCTCTCAACTGTAGACATGTAGATTGTAAAGGAAATATGATTTACATCAGCCAATAATTGCTGAGAGGTTTTCTCATCCTCCCTTCTCTCATGACAACACGTTCATTGTGCGTCTTGAGTAACGCGCAGTAACGGGATGTCGGAAATGATAACGGCGTTATAGTTACTGTCAAAGTAATTAGTTAGATTACTCGTTACTGAAAAAAGTAACGGCGTTAGTAACGCCGTTA